AAATGGTGTAAGTAATGGTAGATTGGATATAAATAAAATGGTGTAAGTAATGGGTAGATTGGATATAAATAAAATGGTGTAAGTAATGGGTAGATTGGATATAAATAAAATGGTGTAAGTAATGGGTAGATTGGATATAAATAAAATGGTGTAATGGGATATATATATGTGTGTGTGTGTAATACTTCACAGTATCTGTAGGTTATAAACTCTGTACTTGTAATTAACGTAAACTGTCGAAACGGGTAGAATGATTTCAATGATTGTCCATGTTATTTAATGATTATTTTACACAAATAAATACAATATAGAAAAGCTATATTCATGACATCTACGTCATAAGATGGGTCAGCGGTAAGTTTACAGACCTATAACTCTAAAATCTGGGGCTCGATTCTCAATGGTGGAGTTAGTCAATTGTGTAGTTTTGCGCCAAAACAAAGAAACATACCGCCTACAAAAAAGGTTTTTCCTGGTTAGGGATGTTTCGTGTGATCAATTTCTTGTCTGAGCGAGTATTAAAATTTCTAAACAATTCAAGAAATTCACTTCGGACAGAGTCGTAACATGTCATACTTTAAAACAATAAAAAATCGTAGAGTTGTGATTCAGAATAAATTATAGTACATGTTGAGCTGGTGTTATTTTGAAAGATCCCCAGTGTAGAGATACAGCCACTTAAAGACGTGTTTCACGCGTGGTCAGGCGACTCTTTGATTCCCGATAGTCAACAATATGTACTTTGTTTTTTATGAGAGACAGCAGGAGTAATGAACCAACAACTTCAGTACGTTTATCCGTATTCACTGAAATATATTTTACTTGCAAATCATGTACGAGAAGTAAAAAAATGACGAAGTTAAATATTTAAAGAGGAAGAATCCATAAACACTTCAGTCGTGCGTATATTTCATCAATATTGTGCTGCTTCACCAACCATTGTCTCATCCATCTTGTACTCCTTCACCAACCATTGTCTCATCCGTCTTGTGCTGCTTCACCAACCATAGTCTCATCCGTCTTGTGCTCCTTCACCAACCATTGTCTCATCCGTCTTGTGCTCCTTCACTAACCACAGTCTCATCCGTCTTGTGCTCCTTCACCAACCATTGTCTCATCCGTCTTGTGCTCCTTCACCAACCATTGTCTCATCCGTCTTGTACTCCTTCACCAACCATTGTCTCATCCGTCTTGTGCTCCTTCACCAACCATTGTCTCATCCGTCTTGTACTCCTTCACCAACCATTGTCTCATCCGTCTTGTACTCCTTCACT